ACAATTTCAAAACTTATTTTCTTTTTCAAAATGTTTCTGAATTAGGAGACTAGTTAAAACTGGCCCTTTCCTGTAAACAGTTCTGGTTTTGACAAATTGGCATTTTCAAAATCTTTTGTCAGAAAATCCCCAATCAGCTCTAGGCTTCGGATCAGGCTCTTCGTTTTGCATCTATCTCTTCAAAACTCCATATTTTCTTCCTGCCTATTGCACAAAAAATAAAAAACAACACCTACAGTCCCAGAGAGGCTCCCTAAATAGAGAATAATAAAAATTAGCAAGGATTTGCTCCTCTTCCTTGTTTTCTGGCAGCCTCATTACTGGATTACCCCTCTAATGCCACCGTACCAGTCCATTGTTTGCTTTGTGATGGTGATGCACATGGATATGTAGGGTGGGATGGGGGTCCAGCAACTTCCGTTAAATAAAGCAAGAAAATAAAGAAATGTATCAATTTCCAAAAACATCTGGAGTGGAGTACAACATCCCAGGTGTCCTTCCTGTCCCTAAACTGCTGTGTTTTTAGTTACCACATCTCCTTTCGGGAAGGCACATTTTCCTGCGCACTCACTTCTGCCGTTTGATTTCCCTTGTACACTTAAGACTACATGTTCTCTTCCTGGATGCTGTTTGTGCAAATTCTATTGCAATCAGTGGGAGGCATGGAGGTTGGAACTTGTCCCTACATCACTTTAGGTCAACAGGAAAATGCCCATTACTCCAGGGTCTGAGAACCTGAGACCTGGGGAAGTGCTGTTGTTCCCATTTTACAGATGGGGAACTGAGGCATGGAGAGACTAAGTGACTTGACAAAGGTTACAAAAGAAGTCTCTGGTGAAGCAGTGAATAAAACCCAAGTCTCCCAAATCCCAGGGTAGCAACCTGACCACTGACCCATCCTTCCCCCCCCCACTCCGAGTTCTAATTCTGAAACTATCTGTTTAGATTACGGCTGCCCTGCCTGGTTTCTATGTATGTAGCAGAGCCTGATTGCTCATGGTCATCAAAGATTAAATAGCGCGTGCTTGCAAGAACAGGTTGTCTGCTGCAATGATCTTGCCAGAATCCAGATGGTCAATTACACTCAGTCTACCTGTAATTGTCCCTGTAATTTCCACTGGATAAATTATTCCTCACTTTCTGTCGTGTAGTGTTGGGGTGCAAGCATAGTATTATCCTGGCTGCTCACCTTCCACCTCCAAACCAGATCCATTTCACCAATGGATTTAGTGATTTTCTTCTCCTACATTGTTTGTAGAGTGATTTGGGGATCCACAGATGAAAGGTACTACAGAAGGGACTGCCACTAACCCCGTGTAATGTGTTGTTTTACCAAAATGACTCAGAAATTATCACGTCACTGCTCTAATTTTATCTCTATTATTTATAGCACATTCTGTACTGGAATTTAGCTTTCAAGACAGCAGCTAGGCACTAACTCATTGTCATGCAAGTCTACTGTCACTTTCGCTGTTCTTCTAGCTCAGTTAAATGCTTGCAAGGTTGGTCAAGGCCCAGGGGTGGGAGTCAGATGACCCAAGTCTTACTCTCAGCTCTTCCATAGATATTAGGGAAGTCATTGAAGGACAGATTCAGATACAGAAGGCCTGGTTCTTCACTGTGCCCGAGACATACAAATAAAGTTGCAGTTGTATGTGCATTGTCTGCTTTGTGGATCTTAAGCAATGTCTGTTGACCACCATGCCCAGAAGACTGCTCACACCCCAACAACCACCAGCGTGGCTTGCAAACAGGAGACCAAATATAAATCAGACCTCTTCCGGAGAGCCCCAACTGCCTTCAGGTTTCTCAGCCAAGACTTTTTAGTAAACATTGCTTCCATTCAGCGCTGCAGCTCTTCAAGCAGGACAGGGTTTACAATAAAACAGCTGCATTGTAAGAAAATTGCTGTGCTTGTTTCACAATATTTCATATGATTCTGTGGAGCCACCAATGGGATTAGGGTATAATTTAACAGCCAGTCCGATCCTTAATCTCCCTCCCCCTCCCCCCCACCACACACATGCGCTTCGCAAATCCTCGCCTTGTGTGGTCCCAAAATTAGAATGCCGCTGAACATGTTCATGTGACTATTCTTCTAGAAGTCAAAGGGCCGTGAGGCCTTGGGCCTCCGAAAAGGCTCTCAAGCCCAGAGGATGCTCAGGAATGAGGCCTTGGAATAAAGGAGAGAGAGTCAAAATTTTCCCATCAACATTTTTTGACAAAATGGAAATTTTCACGTAGAGAGAATCCTGTTTTTGTAGAAAATGTTCATATTTTCATTGAAAGCAAAAAACAGAAGGCTAAAATAATTTTCAGTTTTCAGCAACCAAAACCTGATTTTTTTTTGGCTTGATAATGACTTTTTTTTTTTTAATAAAAACCCAAACAAGATTCTAAGACATTTTTCAGCAAAAAACGAAACCAAAGATTCATTTTCCTTTAAATTTGAATGGTAAAAAAAAGTAATTTCCTTCCCAGCTGTAGAGCAGAGCTATGTGAGACTTTATAACAGAGAGGGGCCCAAACCAAACCCTTGATCTGAACTCCACTGAGCTTTGGAGCACTTCAGATCTGAGCAGGACACTTTGTGGCTCAGCTGCATCATTGGGGTAGAAGCCAGATCAGGCTCAGTGTTTTCATGTGGCCTTGATCCAGAGCCCAGGATTTTCTGATAAGTGTCAGTTTTATTTTGGGGGTTCATAACGGAAAGCAAGAATCCGAGAGCCGGCTCTGCAGTTCTTCCTCTTGAAACCCACCTCTCCCCTGTTGCACCCAGTATGCAGCTGCAGCTCCCATCACTGGCCAGTTGGCACAACTGATGCTGATATCTGTGTGCTGACCAGCCACCTCTTCAAGGAGCCCCACTCACCCTGGGAGTGATTTTGCTTGCCTCTCCTTCCCCAACTCACTGTTCCAGCTTTCCCACTGACAGCGCTCACCTGAGCCCTACTACTTCCCTTCCTACTGTCTCAGCGAAAAGAAATCCAGGTTGGAAACAGTTAACCTATGACCAACCAAATATTCTGCTTATAACCAAGCAACATAACACTGGAAGAATCAGGAACTTTGCCTTCTAGGAGTGTCTGGCAGACCAGTAGACACAAGTTACACTCCTTAAGTCTCAGACGCACAAGCATGTTCTGACCTCTTACCCCTATTCTTTGCAAGGCAGACAGCCACAGTAAGCCGCTCTTAGGTTTTAACTAGCAAATTACACAGACACCCAAAGGGAGAAGTGGGACCTTCAATGTGCTCAGATGAGTTCTGTGTGCAAGCGCTTGGTTTTAATTTCCTTTGAATCAGCCAATTAGCTCAACACCGTTCAGCGCCATCATCAACACTTGGGCTATTACAAGGATCAGGAAATCTCTGCTGCCAGGAAAGCTGTCCAGCTTGATGCAGCTTTGCCAAACAAAAGTGAGCAAGTCCAGTGCTCGGCCATTTGACTTTGATGTATTGTCAGAGAAAATTAAAAAAAAAAAAAATCTTATTCTTTGAAGGGTCAAGCCCTGTTCTCAATCTATCAGCTTTTGCATTGATTCCACATTATGCAAGATGAATTCTCCCCTCCCTTACAGAGTTAGAAATGAGCTATGCCATTTGGTTCTCAAACCCTAGTTGACTCACAGGAATACCAGAGCAGACAGAAAATAAAAATATCTATGACTCAATAGCTCCTTTCACCTTGTTACACACTGGGCCTAACTCTCTCTTCTACTAGTATAAAGTAAGAGTCACACCACTGAGGCCAATGGAGTTATACTGGTATAAGGTAGATCTTAGGGTACGTCTACACTACCCGCCGGATCAGCAGGTAGTGATCGATCTATCGGGGATCGATTTATTGCGTCTAGTGTAGATGCGATAAAATCGATCCCCAATCGCTCTGCCATCGACTCCGGAACTCCATCGCGGCGAGAGGCGGAAGCGGAGTCGACAGGGGAGCGGCAGCGGTCGACTCGCCGCCATCCTCACGGCCAGGTAAATCGACCTAAGATACACGTAGCTGAAGTTGCGTATCTTAGGTCGAACCCCGCCCCCCCCCAGTGTAGACCTAGCCTAAGATTGTCAACTCTTTGGGGCTGGGATTGTCTTTTTGTTCTGTGTTTGTGTAGTGCCCCACACAATGGGGTCCAGATCCATGACTAGGGCTCCTAGGCATACAAATAATAAAAAGCAAGAGGAGAAACAGATCCACTCTAGACTCACACTTCCCACAATATCTACACAGGAACCCTCATATACATACATAAGGATATCTTTCTCCCCCACGATTTAAGTGTCTCCATTCATATACTCACAGTCACAGGTCTAATACAGGCAAAACACTGGGTTTATCGTGTGACATGAACGTCATCTCTTACTGATGGAACTCCTAAAAGTGGATCAAATCTTTCTTGTGAGCGCAGGGATGGGTAAGGGTCCTATTTCCATTTTCCTGATTGAGGTCTGGGGTCAGGAGGAAGGATGAGTGTCTCTCAAATTTTGCTGCTTGGCATAATCTGTTTAACTTTTAAACCAACAGAATAGGCTGCCTTGTCTTTTGCCCATATTGGACATAGCAGCAGCGAAAAGAGTGCTGAACTATTCAGTGCATCTGGAGCCAATTTATGCAGTTCTTAGCTATTAGCTACAAAATCCACTTAGGGCCAGCTCTGTTCCACCCATGCAAGATGCAGCAAAGGCTGCCGTGGTTGCCAGGAAAACTTAGATGTGTTTTTATTTGGGATACAGCATTCTGCATTCACACTGCCTGTCCACCAAACTGTGTTAGTCCCTCATTGGTGTGCACCTCCCTGCTTATTAATACCTGACTAAGCCATGCCCAGGGAGAGGTTTTCTTTCAGTTCACTGCAACACAGGCACTAGCCCTGAGCTGCAACATCCTACATTCAAGAGCTCTCCCTCTCAGTACGATAACCCCCAGAGAAACTAAACTGTCAAAGTCTTTTGGAGGAAAACAGCCACTAGTAAAGGTATAGCAACAAACTACTCACTGACAGTAACCGTTTCATTGATCCTGAAGCTGCAGAGCACTCGATCGACGTTCCGGGTGTGTCGGAAACCATTCCCTCTCACCACGACTTGGAATGACTCTAAGGCAAAGATGAAATGGATTATTTGCCTTGCATCAGTAATAACGGGGACTGGTTATAGCTGGTCAGACAACAGACAATTTCTTCCTGAAAGAAATTTCTAACAAAAAGTCCTGGGCCTTGTCTACACTCCAAAATTAAGTCAACCTAACTTATGTCAGCATACAGCCACCACAGTAGTTACATCGCTTATGCGTGTCTACACTTTGCTCCTTCTGTCAGCAGTGCATGTCCTCACCAGGAGTGCTTGCATCGATTGTACTGGTAGTGAGGGGCATTGTGGGATGGCTCCCAAAAGCCAGTATCAATCGATGTAAGCAATGCAGTGTCTACACTGACACTGCGTCAACCTCACTACATCAATCATGACTCTATGCCGCTCGTGAAGGTGGTGTTACTAAACTGGCATAGAGAGGCAGTTACGTCATCGGGAGCCACATTTAAGTGAAGACACTTCCACAGCTAGGACAATGCAAGGCAGCCTACATCAACCTTACCCTGTAATACAGACCAGGCCTTGGTTTGAAATTTTTCAGTCTAAGGTTCTCAGTTTTCCCCTGGCAAGTTTCAAATTGATTAAAAAAATTTTCATTTTGAACTGACATTTCAAAACAGAATGGAATGTTTTGTTCTGTTTCAACTTAATATATTTTGGGGTTTTTTAACCAAAAACTTGAAATGAAACATTTTAAGTGGACTTGAAACAAAAATTTTCATTTCAACATCTTCTGCAGGAAAAATAAAAAGTTTTCACCTGAGCTGACATTTCCCTGTGGAAAATTTGGTTTTGATGAAACCGTATTTTTCAGAGGAAGGAAAACTTCCCATATGGCAAATTTTGACCATTTCCCTAGAAATCTGCCAAACTGTCCCAGTCTCCATGTGTCTGTCCCACACTCTACAATACTAGCTTGCAAGATGGACACAAATGCTTAGCTAGACTGTGTCTAGTCTTGCACCGGTGGGGAAATCTAGCATGCTTGGATGGGCATGCTAGTCACAATCACAGCTCTGGTGCTCCCCAAGGCTTGCTGACGTTTTTCCTACTGCTGCATACTACCGCTGTTCATCTCTACTGGTGGGTAGCAGAAAGGGAAGTGCTAGCTTAGACATTTTAAGCACCACAGTGAGCAGAGACCTGCTTTGAGCAAGCATGGTTAGATAATGTATGGTTAAAGCACCAGCAGACTCCTGGATTCCTGGCTACAATCTTACTTCCAGTGTTGCTGCAACTGGAGCTGAACCAACAGTAGCAATGATGGGAAAGACTGATGACATTCTTGCACACAGAGGGGATGCAACAAGGGTTACCCTTGTCCATACTCCCAGAAACCTCTTGGTGGAGTCAGGAAGTTCTGCAGCTCCATATGACCCATGGCTATGGGCAGCAAAGCTACTTTTGTAGCTGAGTGTGGCAAATGGCCAATGCTATTGTGGTGGGTCCGTGCTTTTCCTTGGTGTGGTGGGTCAGGGTTAGGGTTAGCCCTAGTCTTGGGCTCCTCAAGTGCTCTGGAGGGGGAGAGAAGGAGAGCAGGGAAGGGACCCAGCTTCACCCCCCTACTCCGGTCCCAGCCCCTTCGGCTTCACAGGTTTCTTACCCTCTTCCTCCTGGGCAGGGTTTCTTTCGGTTCTCTGTGCTGGGGGAGTCCCTCTGCCCTGCTTGGGTGGGGGCTCCCTTCCCTTGGTATTCTAATCCTCTGATCAAACTACAGTCCAAACTACACCTCCAAACTACAGTCAGCTCTCCTTCCATCCTCCTGTCTCACTGAAGCAGGGGTTTTTATTAGGTCTCAGGTGGGGCCTTAATTGGCTCCAGGTGCTCTAATTAACCTATAGTAACCTTTCCTTAGTCTACAGGGAATAAGGCTCTGATCATCCTGGGGTTTATATACCTCCCATCAATCACTCTCCTGCTGCTCTCTGGCCCTGCTGTATCACATGAGGTAGAGAGTAATAGAACAATCTGTGCTCTGTATCCTTTGTGTGTCACAACTGAGCAGTGCCATGTTGTATTACGACATAGATTCATAGAATATCAGGGTTGGAAGAGACCTCAGGAGGTCATCTAGTCCAACCCCCTGCTCAAAGCAGGACCAATTCCCAACTAAATTATCCCAGCCAGGGCTTTGTCAAGCCAGGCCTTAAAAACCTCTAAGGATGGAGAGTCCACCACCTCCCTAGGTAACCCATTCCAGTGTTTCATCACCCTCCTAGTGAAACAGTTTTTCCTAATATCCAACCTAAACCTCCCCCACTGCAACTTGAGACCATTACTCCTTGTTCTGTCATCTGGTACCACTGAGAACAGCCGAGCTCCATCCTCTTTGGAACCCCCCTTCAGGTAATTGAAGGCTGCTATCAAATCCCTCCTCACTCGTCTCTTTTCTGCAGACTAAACAAGCCCAGTTCCCTCAGCCTCTCCTTGTAAGTCATGTGCCTCAGCCCCCTAATCATTTTCGTTGCCCTCCGTTGGACTCTCTCCTATTTGTCCACATTCTTTCTGTAGCATGGGGTCCAAAACTGGACGCAATACTCCAGGTGTGGCCTCACCAGTGCCAAATAGAGAGGAATAATCACTTCCCTCGATCTGCTGGCAATGCTCCTACTAATGCAGCCCAATATGCCATTAGCCTTCTTGGCAACAAGGGCACACTGTTGACTCACATCCAGCTCTTCGTCCACTGTAATCCCTAGGTCCTTTTCTGCAGAACTGCCACTTAGACAGCCTGTAGCAGTGCATGGGATTCTTCCGTCCTAAGTGCAGGACTCTGCACTTGTCCTTGTTGTACCTCATCAGATTTCTTTTGGCCCAATCCTCCAATTTGTCTAGGTCACTCTGGACCCTATCCCTACCCTCCAGCATAACTACCTCTCCCCCAGGTTAGTGTCATCTGTGAACTTGCTGAGGGTGCAATCCATCCCTTCATCCAGATCATTAATAAAGATGTTGAACAAAAATGGCCCCAGGACTGACCCTTGGGCACTCCGCTTGATACCGGCTGCCAACTAGACATCGAGCCATTGACCACTACCCGTTGAGCCCGACGATCTAGCCAGCTTTCTATCCACCTTCTAGTCCATTCATCCAATTCATACTTTTTTAAGTTGCTGGCAAGAATACTGTGGGAGACCATATCAAAAGCTTTGCTAAAGTCAAGGTATATCACATCCACCACTTTCCCCATATCCACAGAGCCAGTTATCTCATCATAGAAGGCAATCAGGTTCTAGAACAAAAGAATAATTTTACCATGGGGGCAACCCTTGGAGCCCCAAGCTGGAGAAAAATCAAATCAAGAGGAGTTTTGTAGCTGAGCTGACATCTGCAGTAATAATAGGGGGAGATTGGTACTCAGCTCCCACTGACACTTGTAAATCAGTCTCACCATGCATGTGGCTTTATCTACACCAGCACTTTTGTCGGCAAAACTTGTGTTGGACAGGGGTGTGAAAAAACACCCCTTTGACTGACATAAGATTCACCGACAAAAGTGCAGGAGTGGACAGCACTACACCAGCGGGAGACACAGCTACCGCCGCTCGCTCCGGATGGTATAATTATGCTGGTGGGAGAGCTCTCTCCCGTCGACAGAGAGCAGCTGTCTCATCATAGAAGGCAACCTTACAGTGACGCAGCTGTGCCACTGCAAGGTCCATAGTGTAGACATGGCCTGTGGCTCACCTAGACAAAACATTTACAATTTTATGTCCGAGGAGATGCAGGAGCAGTCAGTGTATCATGACCCGAGCTCTGTATTAAGACTCCTCTTTGCCATTTAAACTTCTTAAGCAGCAAAACCGATCCAAATTTCTGCCGATTCAAAGCTGTTCCTTGTACATTACAGAAGCCACCTTATCTAATTGCCCTGAGGGACTCCTGCACTGTAGCTGCCAGAATAGCATATTCGCTCTGGAATCTGGGCTGTGTTCCAGGTCTCATTTTCTTATAGCCAGGAAGAAGTCAGCTGCAAACAATCCCAGCACATCTATCCAAGCAGGCTGCCTTTTAATCCCATTGTGTATTGTCCAAGCTCATTCAAGAAGAACAAAGGGAGCAATGCTGAGCTCTGGAGGGTGGGGGGATATAAAATCATTAGGCGCAATTATGGAAATCGTATGGGATGGGATTACAAGTACAGAAGAGTACAAAAACCTTTGTGATAATGTATCCAGTCTGGAACTGTAATTAACAAGCCCAGCGATGACTATCACATTTCTATATTTACGCAAAACCAACAAGTATGGAGACTAACTTTTCAGAATGGGGCGTCGCTGCTGCTAACTGACCTAGGCTAGGGTGGGGGTGAGGTGTGTGGTATTGGGGACTGTGCCTTTAAGGGCTGGGCTTCCCAGACTGAATGTCTGGGAGTGACACTGTGAAGCTCTTCTTAGGCACAGGCTGTTGGAAGTGGACACAGAATAAAGCAGAGCTCTTGCAAGCACCTTCAGTACTGCATGATCACTGAACACCACAAGATACAGCGCTCAAGCCGCAGTGTTTGGAGCCAGTGTGCCAGCGTAAGAGTAATGTCTACCCTGCAGCTACAGCACATGTAGACATACCCGAGCAAGCTTTGGTAACTAGATCAAAACTAGCTCGAGTAACAACAGCAGTGAAGCCAAGGCAGGATGGGCAGAGGCTCTCACATATGTTCCCAGGCAGCCGGGGCTAGTCCTTGCAGCCGTCCATCCTGCCACAGCATCACTGCTATTGTTACTTGAGCTAGCTTTCATTTAACTACCTCGGGTGTGTCTCCTGATTGCAGTGTAGACATATGCTAAATCATAATCCTCCAGGGTACCAGAGAGAGGACAGGAAGGTGTAGCCAGCCCTCCTCACAGTGACGCCATTCTAATACGTACAGGGTGTGGGGATCACGGCCCGATCTAGTCTAGATCCTTTCTGGGCCCCCACCTTGCATTCCCCAGGCTTGCAGCCAAATTACAGCCATGATCTACATAAGCACACTAGGAGGAATGGTGCCCTCTCTCACACAGACCATGAGCTATAGTTGCCATAATTCGTCCCTTTGTAATTCTCAGAGGAACTAATTCAATTAAGATTTATATAATTCTTTTCATTTTTACTAGCTGTGAGCTCAAGCTTGAAATCCTCACGCCGGGGGAAACTCCCACTGCACTTTGAACTCAATACAGGTTTTGTCTGAACCCAGACTTTAGGATTTTGGGCCCCATGTCATCCACCAAGCAATAACAACTTACTGCTCAAATTAGCGTTGCTGGCACATTGTGTTATTATTGAATTGGTACCCAGCATGTGCTAAGAGGCACCACACTGTGCAAGATGCTCTCTTTCCAAAAAGGCATAACACTGCGGTCTTGGATGAGTAACCGCGGTCAGTAAAAAGTCCCCTGGCAGTTTTCAGGGTTAACATCACTCCCCCTGTGGCAGCTTGGCCAATTTCTAACTTGAGTCATTACATAATGTCTTCCAATATTTTCCTTCCTACTGTTTCAATTGGATACAGTATTCAGTCACATTAAGGCTGCTCCATTTGTAAATGGTTTGCCTGTGGCTAATAGATGTTACAAGCATGTTAGTGACATGATTTATAGATGTAGTGGTGTAGATAGTTCTAAGCACATAAAAGGTGTTGCAAATTATAAACCATGAATATAAGTAACTTATGGACGCTATAACCATCTATTGCAATTGATGAACCAGTTAATAAATCGCCTGTTAAGTATTTATTAACCCTTCATAAATTATGTGTAAATGGAATATAAAGTGAGACCTAGTATTCTTCTTCACTTCTTTCCCAAAACTTTTATACATTGTTACTATGCTCTGCCAAAGTCCCTGTTATGTCCAGCCCAGATTCAACTGCATTTCAGTGGTGAATAGAGAGTTTCCTGTATATCATTTGAATAGCATTTTTAAAATTGCTCTGTAGTCCTTTTGGGTGAATGGTTCTCTGTAAATGCAAGAGGTCATTACTGATGCAGTCCAGATTTTCAGCAAAGAATGCTTTAAATGGACAGAAGGGGGGGGGACGGGACAAATAGCAAAATAATAAGTCTTAGACAAACAAACTCAAATCAACTAAGTCTCGGCATTAACTAAAACCAAAAATGACAGTAAGGATAACTGAATGCAAAAGTTATCTGCATTTTCTTTTCAGGACCTTGACTTTGCTATTAAAACACGATCATTTCTTTATTAAATACAACTTAGTATCAATTCATTGCTAGCAATGCAGATGCCCAGTCACTCCAATGGTGGGAAACTCAAGAAGGATGAATCAAACAGATGCTTCTGAACTGAAAACACAAAGAACTTATTACAACTGGCTTTCCTATTTGGGCTACAAAATTATTAAATGGAATTTTTTTTTGGCAGAGTTCACCATTGACTCGTTGTACTGCTCTGCACACTTTGGCTTTGGTCCTGGCCCCTCTATCTAGTGGACTGTTCTGCATTAAACAACTGGGATCCACTCTGCAAAATTAGCAAAATTCATGGGAAAAAGCTGGATCTGGAATCATATGGAGAGTAGCTGGACAATGCTGAGAGCATCTCTCAAGCTCCAGTCTGAGGGGGTTGGATTTTGTATGCAGTGTAGCTGTAGCCATGTCGATCCCATAATATTCAAGAGGCATGGCAGTGAAGCAATAACTTTTATTGGAGCAACTTCTGTTGGTGAGAGAGACAAGCTTTTGACCTTACACAGGGTGCTTCTTCAGGTCTGGGAAACTTACTCAGAGTGTCACAGCTAAATACAAGATTGTACAGATTGGAGTTGGATTTTGCTGAACACAGAAATACTTCCCAGGGACTTTTAATCCACAAAGTAAATGGCATAACTGTATTAGAATGAGCACTGGGAAAGGGATCAGCACAATTCAGTGTCAGTCAAGTGTATGGTGTCTTAACTGGCCACTTACAATCATTTTCAAGGGTTCCAGCAAATTTTTGTACAACCATGTGTTCAAGGCCCACCCCCGCTAGGGAGTTTTAGCATTCACCTTAATGGGAGCAGGGTGAGACTAACTCAGAGTGCTTTGGAAAAAATCCCACACTTGATTTATATTCTGACAATATATGAAGCGAGGCTAACCTAGAGGGGTTTGCTGCTTGCCAGCGTGTATTGTTTATAGTAATGCAGATTGTAAGAAATATTCACAATGGAATCTGAAAACCTCCAAATCTGTCTCCTCACAAAGATGATCTCATTTTGCAGTCTGGCTTTGAAATTTCACAGCATTTTTGCTTAAAGGTTAGCACTGTTTGATGAAAAATGGGCTGCTTTGAGTTAAGGTCATAATTTAGATCAAACAAAGATTCGTTTTCAGAACTGAGCATGATTGTTTTTAATTTCCTTCATTTTGAGACAAAAAAAAATCTTGTTTTGTGAAATTTCACAAAAGTAGCAAAATATTTTAGAAATTAACTCCAGTTAACTCAATCATTCTGGGCTCCTTAGGGATCAGGGATGGGTGGATAGAGACAACTGCACTGGTAAACATGGAGGACTGGTTTAAACTTACCTCCTGCACATATACTGGAAGGCTCCGCTGCAAGAATCTCTATACATGATTTCTTCAAAATCTAGAAGCCAAGAAAGAAAGAAGAAATGTGATAAAATATCTTGGAGGACATTTTATGTAGGAACTCTACCTCCTTGAGCAACGGTAGCCAGGTCAATGGAAGCATTCTTCTGTCGACCTAGCCATGTCTACACCAGGGGGTAGGTCTGCATAGCTTCAGCGCCAAGGGTGTGCAATTTTTCACACCCCTGAGTGACATAGCTTTATAGATCTAACTTTTAAGTTACGTAAAGGCATAACTCCAAGGACCTTTGTTCTCATTTACCTTAATGCCCCTTCACACTGAAAATGACACCCATTTACACTGCTAGAATGGTGCAAATGAGAATCTAGCCCCCTAAGCCTACAGTCGAGGGCCTGAACTTCACTTAAAATTAGATCGACCTAGCTACGTTGCTCTGAGCTGTGAAAAATTTTGCACCCTGAGCCAACCTAAGCCCCTATGTAGAGGTGGATAGGTTGATGGAAGAATTCTTCTGTCAACCTAACTACCACCTCTCACAGAGGTGGATTGACTACATTAATGGGAAAACCCCTTCTGTCTGTGCAAGAAGTGACTGCCTATGACAGAGGCACAGCTACACCGTAGCTGTGCCTCTGTCATAGATGTAGCGTAGACATACCCTACGTTTAACGGCTTGTCCACATGCAGATTTGCACCAATTTAACTTAAGGTTTGTTTTTAAGCCAATGTACCTGTGGGTGCTCTTATTTCAATTAGAAACGGTTTTAAGCTAAACTGAAATAAGTGAGTGTACACAGGTTTGCACCAGTTTAACTAAACCGATACAAGTTTGTGTGTAAACAGTCTCTGGGTATGTTTACACTGCAATTAGACACCCTTAGACTACTGACTGTGGTTCGTGGGGCTGTTTAATTGTGATGTAGCTGTTGGAGCTTGGGCTGCACCCCAAGTTCTGGGACCCAACCACCTTGCAGGGTCCTAGAGCCTGGGCTCCACCTCAAGCCCGAACATCTATACTGCAATTAAACAGCCCCGCGAGCCTAAGTCAGCCGGCATGGGCCAGCTGTGAGTTTTTAACTGCAGTGTAGACCTATCCCCTAAGGCCCAGGTTCAGTTTCAAGCTATGCATACCTTTGGAACGTTGGGCTGAGCGTATCGCCAGCCATTCACTAGGTTGGGAGTATTACTATTCAAATACCATGTTAGAACTGATCCAGCTGTTCTTTGCCAATGACAGCCCTGATGCTGCACAGCCCGATACACATGCTTCACTATACACACTGTGAGTTGTTCCACAATCACATGTGTAAGTCTCTGCAGGTTTGGGGGCCTTAACCAGGAACTGGGACTGGCCAGCCCCATTCTGGAACGGGACATCGGAGAGGCAGCACATAAGCTAGCCAGCTCTGAGAGGCCGGATAATGTTGGCCAAGCAACACAACTCAATCCAGCAGCAAAATTGTTTTCCCAACCTTAAACTGAAACATCTGTAAGAAACAAACTACAGCTAATATGATAAATTATGTTAAGAAAATAGACAATCCAGCATTTCACTGTAATTAAGGCTCCATGCGTCAGAAATACCTGCTTGCAAAAGGTGCAGATATAGTTATGGGTTTGTTTGGGGGTTGTTGTTTTTTTTGAAGGGCTTATTAGTCACTCAGAAACAGTGATGCCAAAGTCTTCTGGGATACCAGGGACCGAAGAGAACCAGGTCCTTCTGAGCTGCTGACAGATTGACAGTGCATGGGGAAAAGGAGAAGCTTTGGAGGAACAAGGCCAGTCACATGGAACTGCAAGGGAGAAACAAAGAGAGAAAGAGAGAGAAGCAGCAGTTACACAGTCAAGAGCACAATCGACAAGCAAAAGAAGGCTCTGAAAGCAGAATCAGAGAAAGGACACTCAAGATTAGAGGTGGGTAGGTGCTGTAATATGCTGCCTGCCAGATACCACACGGGTGCTGTCTAGCCATTCCTAAAACCAGATTTTGGGACTAGCTTACTCCACAAGTGGCCCCACTGACCATTCATGCGGGGGAGATACTAGTCAGCGTAATACAGCTGGTTGACATTTTTCTAAGGAAAAAATATTCTTTTCATTGACAAATGGCTCTGTTTCAAAAATGGAAACTTTTCACACACTTTTGTCTATTCTTCTTAAGTTTTGCCTTTTTTCAGTGGAACCCCAAACCAAAAATCTTTTGGTTTTCAATTTTTCCTTTCCCTATGCCCCCTTTTCAGCAGTAAAATGGAAACATGGAGGACGAAGGGAAAAGGTGAAAAAGGAAGGGGGGGCAACAAACCTTAGAGCTTGATAAACACCTTCGCAACAAAGTGCAAATAAAAAACAATAAAATTAATTCCTTTTGAAACCAGCCTTATTTCTGTATTATTTTGTACTCTGTAGTACAATTTTTTTTTTATTTTTTCCACCTCTGAGCTGGCCTTTAGGACTCAATAGAATACCTATGATAATATTTGTTTGCATTTATTTAGATTTTAAAATAATAAAAAGACAAGCATCCATGACTCTAAGTACCCTAACATCATTAATAAACACAACGAAGTCCCAGCAGCATTAAGTAATCATTCCAACAGTCCTCACCTTTCATCATTATGAGAAGCAATAGTATCAAAGGACTTCACATATAAGTAAGATATGCCCTAGTAGGCTTCATGAGGGTTTGCTGCTTTCCTCCCTTCCAGGGTGGTGGAAGGCTCTTGCTTGCATTGCATGTACACTGCTGGAGGGATTAGGTAACCTGGCTCAAACAAGCCAGCGAAATAGTGTCTGACAGCGTTCAGTCAGTTGCCAGGCAGAAGACCTAGTATAAATCACTCCTACAGTGTGCTCAGTACAACTGACCTAGTGGTGAATCCTACTCACGACAAATCTAGCCTCGTGTTTGATTGGCGAACCCCGTCGCTCCAGTCCTGGCTCATTCAATAATGCCTTTCTGTGTGGCCTTTGGGCCGGGGAAAAAAAGCAAGAATGCTTTAAATGGACAGAAGGGGTGGGGGGAGGGAGTGCTTAAATTCCATTGACTTCAATGGCACATGCTTAGAGAGAAACACATGCTTAAGTGCTCTCCTGAATAAGGAATCTTAGGCTCAACTGCCTCAGTTTCCTCATGTATTCCCAGGGGATAATAAACATGTCCCTACCTCACAGGGGTTGGTTAGTTAATGTTTGTAAACAACTTTGAAAATGTAAATATTGTATAATGTGTTCTCACGGAAGATTGATACTTAAGCACTTTTCATGGCTTGCTCATATCACAGGGTAGAATGGCCCTTTAAGAGAGGCAGGCTTAGCCCTACCTGTGACTAACCCACAGCCTCACAGGTGAGGGGTCTGAGGCCAGGGATCAGGTGATAGCCTGTAGCTCACCTGGTCCTTAGATCAAGGCCAACAAACAGCTCAGTTGGGAGAGAGATCTGCAGAAAACCCTGGGTCCGAGGAAAAGAAACCGGTTGACTTGTGTTGGACTGTTTTGTTTTGAGGAATAAACCCATCCCTGAAGAGAGGGACTGAAACTCAGATGCTGTTGGGAGCTTTATTTGATGCACTGGCTGGTGAGTTGGCCCACCAGTTTATACCTAGGCTTCTTCGGCACAGCAGCTGGAGGACGTTTTCTGTTAACGGGGGTTTTATTGAATTTGGGTTTTTTAATGAGCAAACAGGATGTGGAAGTTTAGAGGAGGGGTACTGCATATGTCTGTTAGTGTGAATGACCTGTAGTCTAAGTCTAGGTACTGATTACCCAAGATTTGGTGAATCATTGCAAAACAAAGTCTGTTGCCAATTACAAAACAGTAATTTAATTCTATTTATACAATACTTCCTTTCCAGCATCGCTAGCATTTGGTACATCAAAAAACAACATGCTTCAGAGATGATTTGGGGGAAGAGGGAAGAAGTGTCAGATGTGACCACACATCATGCTGAAAAGCAATTGTAAACATTAAATATGTCATAATGCACAACATACACACTTGGTCCAAATTTTCAAACTGGATTCTTAAGTATGCACACCCCGTGTGTTGCAAACTAGGTAACTGTCTCTCACTATCCTTATGTGTGCATGCTCATCTGACTTGTACATGTTGGTGGACACACAAGAAACATTTGCATGTATAGTTTTAGAGGCCCATTTGAAAAGCTGGCCATAAGATGATCTCAAGAAAAGATAATGGTGCATCTTAGATTTGGCAAAGGACAAACAATTTGGTTTTTCGGATGCACATGCGAGATTCTCACTGAAATCAGTGGATTCTGGGATAAGATTTGTCCTTTGGGTATAACCATTTTCCTATAGGAGTTCAGATACCTGTGTAACATACAGCACTTGGAGAGTTTCATTTTCCATCTTAAAACTTTCTATGGCAAATGTATATGCAACACTGACAGAACAAATTTAAGAGCTGAGATATGAAGAGAGATTGGGAATGCAGTAGAGACCAATAAATCCTATGTGGGTATAAAGTTGAAATGTAATGAACAAGCAGGGTATTAAGTTAAAGAGGAGAAATAAATTATGCAAAGGTACCATCAATAGGAATATAGATGATTGGATTCTCTTCTAGATACAATGAAAGATTAAAAGAAGTCTAATATAATTCTGCCTCTAGTTCCTTTTTTCACAGCTGCCTCCTTAACCTCACATACATAATTTGTACAGTCATATATGATTAGTATCTTGTTTTCATTTTTGGTTTTCGAGATACAATCCTTTCCATGTCTGAAATGAGTTTTCAGCTGCAGCAAACTGCAAGGACCTGGGAGCATTCCTGCTTCCGAGTCATAGTTGTGTTACTAAATTGTTTAGGTTACAGTCTATAAGGGAGATGACAAAGGTATCCTATCCTAACTTTCATGATGTTCTATATTTCACAGCCTGGGCCACTCCTCATACCAGACAAAGAAGTCCTGAGCAGTTGATGAATTTGAGCTTCAGGTTTTCACTCTAGGTCTTGCTCCGTTTGCTTTAAATTGACAAGTTACGATCTGCAGAAATTCCCATGGAAACCACAGTA